ATATATATATATATATATATATATATATATATATATTTATTCAGCTCTTAGATGGAGAATTAAGTTTCAGCTTCCTAACTACGGAGGCTGAGCTACTACAGATCCCAGATCTCTTTGATCGGCAGAGGGTTGATCAAATAACTCTCGATGTACTCAAATACCGTGTGGGGGTCTTGATCGCCGTTGATGGAAATCGCGTCTTCGAAATATTGTTCCAGATTGCTAGAGAGCCTGAAATACAGGTCGACTTTGCTCTTGATGGTCTCTTCCATCTCCTTCGGGTTCATCAGCAGGCGGTCATTGACTTCCTTGGTAATGGCCGGCTTGTACAGTGTATGATATCTGGAAAGGAGCAGAGAACTCGGGAGAAGGAAGGCGTGACAGAAAAAAGTCCCCGTCCCCCCGCGTGCGCGTTTAAGTGTTTTATACCCAGCTTTAAAACAAATCTGTTGGCGGATGGCCGATTTGAGCACAGAGAGGTAAATGACGTCTACATGCCATTGGAAAGAGGCGATAGAAAAGCCAAAAAGGAAACAAAGGAAGACCAAAAACGCCTCCTTGCCAGCAATCAATAACACCCAGAAAAGCAGAGAGGGATGCCAAGATGAATACTAGACCGACCGTCAAAAAGTAAACGATAGCCAAATTGCCAACTCAGACAAATGAGCTAACAATAATAAACAACAGAGAAAAACTATCGTTCCTACCAAGACTAAAAGGGCAAGCCACTATGATAAAAATAGAAAGCAAATCCGTTTAGCCCTGATGATGTTACGTACCATATTTTTCGGACTGTAAGAATGCCGTATTCAGTGTATAAGACGCACCCAGATTTCCACCCTCTTTTTCGAGGGAAAAATGTGCGTCTTATACTCTGAAAAATATGGTAGTGTGGGCCTCCGTTGCAGTCGTAAGTCGAGGAATACCTGTAACGCTGGCCCTGCCCATTTTACCTTGTTGTTCTTCCACGCACCCTACACATCACACATCTTAGTCACTAACCTTTCCCCGCTGATAGGATCCACCATGGAGTAGGATAGGCGTTCCAGAATGGTTTCCGCCTGGACATTCAGGAAAAAGACCCTGAAATGTAGAAGGACGGAGGTGAAGGAACCATTTCATTATTATTTTTAAAATTGTATTAATTAAATTTTCCAACATTTAAAACACAAATATACACCTATGACAGCTTTTCCACATCGGTATCCGTTATCTTTCGTAACAATCCTGCTTACAAAAATTCTATCTCCGTTTCACTATCCTAAATAATACCCTTATTTAAATTATAATATCATCCACTCACACATCAATATCATATATTTCTCATAAAGTTTGCATTCTATATATTATACTTTTACATCTTATACCTGAGGTTTTACGCTTACTCTCAAGCCAGGAATACCATCTATTCCAAATTTGATAGTACTCGGTTTCTCCCCTCTCCTTCGTTTCCATAGACAGCCTATCCATCTCTGCACATTCATAGATTTTCCTTCTTATATTTGAGTCTGGCGGAGTATCTGTTTGTTTCCAATTCTGTGCTAAAAAGATTCTGCTTGCGGTTAATATGTGTGGTATTATGTATTGTAATTTTTTCCCGCACATTTTCCCATCAAAAATACCCAGGAGAAACAAGGAGGTGAAGGAACAATTTCAACTATCAACTCTGGTAGTGAGACAAAGGGAATCGCTTCAGAGGACAATCCTGTCCTTCGGAATCCGTTTGCTCACTTAAGAGCCTCAGGATTCGCTTAATGACTGAAGGGGTTCGCTTAACCGCCTTGGCAGAAAAAAAACCTCACAGAACAGGACGCAACTCACTTAGCAACTGCCTTGATTGTTGTGGTCATAAGTCGAGGAGCACCTCAACTTCACCTCACCACAGGGGGAACGTCTCATATAATGCAGTTTAAAGGTAAAAGTAAAGGTTCCCCTCGCACATATGTGCCAGTCGTTCCTGACTCTAGGGGGCGGTGCTCCTCCCCGTTTCAAAGCCGAAGAGCCAGCGCTATCCGAAGACGTCTCCGTGGTCATGTGGCCAGCATGACTCAAAGCCGAAGGCACACGGAACGCTGTTCCCTTCCCACCAAAGATGGTCCCTATTTTTCTACTTGCATTTTTTATGTGATTTCGAACTGTTAGGTTGGCAGAAGCTGGGACAAGTAACGGGAGCTCCCTCTGTTACGTGGCGCTAGAGATTCGAACCGGCAAACTGTTGACCTTCTGATTGACAACCTCAGCGTCTATAGCCACTGAGCCACTGCATCCCATAACGCAGTTTGCGTCGTGTCAAATCCAGCCACGTCGGCTTCTCTGGCCACTCGTCGTAAGAACACAGACAGCTTCCTGGTGGTTTTTGAACCCGCACCCAATTTACAGGGATTAATTTAGATTTAAATAAACTTAAATTAAGATTTCGGTTTGGCGGGGAGGGTGAGGCCTTCTGGAATCGGCTTTCTTTGAGCTTTCTTCTCTCTTGCAGTATCTCGCCTTGGCTTTTATGCTGTAATTTTTTTTTTTTTTTTTTTTTCGC